GTGTGTGTGCGCGTGTGTCTATCTCACACACACACACACACACACACATACATGCAAACATTCTTATGTAAACTCACCACATGAATAACTTTGTTATTTTGTCACATAAACATTCACTGCTCTGCTGCATGCTCACACATGCACACACGTGCACACAAATGCGCACATACACTCACACATTCTCTTGCACACTTGCATATTTGTGCCTGTGTATGCCCCTGCTCACCACTCTCACTCTCACACACACACACAGACACACACAATCTTCCACTCAAATCCGAACCAAATTGACAAACTGTGTGCTTCAGCAGACAGCTTTTGTGCTTAGAAACAAAATGAACCCCCTGCTGTCACCCACACAAACAAACAACACACACTCAGTGTGATTTGCTCAAAGTTCAACAGAAGGGGCCAGCGGGCAGACAAATTGCAGTTTTTGTAAAAATCTGTTGTTAGTAAGGGGTGCTGAATGTTATCATTAGAGTTAAGACATTGCAAATGACTGGTTTTGGGTGGTTGTGGCTCGGTAGCATGTGATTTTCACTGTGCAGAAGATCTGCTTGCAGATATGTTACGATTTGTGACCTCAGTGAAAGGGTGAAATCCATTCATGCAGTCCATCATTCCTCTAGATGACATCCGACTGCACTCACACCCTGAGGGGACAAACACAATAAACAACCGAATTGTATTGTGCATTTACTAAGGCGTCAACAAGTCTAGGCTGGAAAATACTTCCTGGTCTATTTTACTTTCATAAGTGAGTTATTTTGTTATGAGTAGCCAAGCATACCAGAAGTTCAAAGCAGACAACTAAAGGCTTTGCCTCCGGAGTTGTTGTGACAAGGAGAATAATTGCGTCTTGACCAGCGTGACGTGCAGTTCAGTCAAGGGATGAGTGTATTAAAATTCACAAGGTTCGATGGTCAGCGCTGGTCTCGCAGACAAGATGCTTATCGATGCTGAAGAAGCATCAACAAACGTGACAGTGAGCAAAGCGGAGCACTCAACAAGAGCTCTGTGTATTTTATCACTCGGTGCCACAAAGGAAGACTCTGAGTGAACTGTTTGAATTCTGGGATCGTCTGATTAAGGTCCAAAAGTAGATGACTAACGCTGTCTGCATCCCTCAACATTTGCCAAACAGATTTATCCTCCAACAAAATAAACCATATTCAGCTTTTACAGGAGCTTAAATTTAAGGCTACAGGTTTGTAATATTTTGTCAAATGGTGGTAGGGCTAGTATTTTTCAGGCTAGTCTCCTATGGTGGAACTGTTTTTGGATATAAAAACAAACAAACAATTCTGCTACAATATAGTCGATATATAAGTGAACCCTATCAAATCGGCACTTTTTCTTAAAAGAAATCATCTCTTTCATTGTTAACTTCTAATTTGATTAGTCATAGTCAACTCTCATGACTGACTGCTTTCTCAACAGTTCTTTTTAATGTCAATTTTTTTTAAAATTCTCTACAGTTGATACACTTCATTATGATGTATTTAGTCTTATCTCAATATCATTATTTTCGACATTTGAGAATGGCAACCTAATTTTTTTGTTACTACTTGAAATCATCAACAATGACTACATTCTAAATTTTTAATTATTAGTAGTGTAATGGCTCATTTATCCTCTATGTTAGATACGTATACAGACGCAGAGCTTCTGCCTGTACTCTGCGTTGGTTTTGTCTATATTTGTGCAGGTTTTCTGAAAGCTTATAGATACGAACACAATGGACCAGTACCACCAGAGATCAAGGGGGCAGTGTAGAGTAGTCTAGTTCGAACAAGATAAGATTGTAGGACACGACAAAAACACTTGTTGGAACATTATGATTCAGTGCTAATTTGAGAGGAATTCTCTGTTCACATGTCAAAATGTATTGATGGGCTCACAGACCACCACCCACTCACTTACAACATTGCCTCCATTTAAAGAAGAATTATTACGACCTTCTCCACGGTCACCACGTTTGTTGTTGTCAGAAACTTTTGACCGTGACCTGTAGTGCCATCTAGTGGATGCATCTATGCCAACATTAAGGGCACATAGAAGTATGTCGGCAGTGACGGTCACAATGTTTGAAATGAACACATCTATTTTCATACATAAAGGGAGTATAAACGAGCCTCAAGTTATTACAGTTTGATAGTCGTAACACTCCAGTATATGTTGTGGTTTCTGAGTTGGCTAGCTCAGTGGTTCTCAACTGGTGGGTCATGGTCCAAAAGTGGGTCCCGGGTCAATTCTGAATGGACCGCAAGTAACTCCCGAACATGCTGAGTTAGTAAAAAACACACTTTAAAGTACAGTAAAATCGTGGCACAGAGCTTTTACTTGGGAATGCTGTTCCCTGCTGTAGAGTGAGAGACTGACAGACAGCTACATGACAGAGACAACAAACTAGCTCAGTGACATGGCCAAATGCAAGTATGACACCGAATACACTGAACTGTGTGGACCTTGAACAAATGACTAAGGAGAAATCTGGACCCTGTGGCTGGACTGGCTGGTAATCATTGGGCTAGCTAACGTCAGCTGCTGGTAGACCTTTATTCAGGAAGCACTTTGTTTTGTTTTTGACTTTGAGAGTGTGTGAACTTAGCTTCCTTGTGAGGACGGAGCTACTGCTGCCACGTGCAGAAATGGCCATTGTTCAGCTAGCTGTTGAAGGATGGTCAGTTCCTACAAAATGTACAATAGTCAATCTAATTGAACCATAATGTGTTGTTTTCTATTTCCAGATGTTAAAGCCATAGTTGGTAACTTTTATAAAAATAATTTGGCATGTTTGTTGAAACTGTGTCTATATTCTGTACTTGAGCTAGATAGTCTGTAAAAATATATCATATATTCTCCTACTGCTTCTAATGGCATTTGCTACAATCAGACTGCGGTGCAGCCAGCGGCGACTTACCAGAGCCAATGAGTGTCTAATGCAGTTGTCAATTATGTCAATCGCTCCATTAAATGTGGTCAAACTGTCAAACTGGGCAGTGCTGATCAAATATAAATTGAGATTTCTCACCTCAAATATTTAAAGTAATATATTTTAGCGTACTTTTTAGCTGTAAAATAGTTTGTGACCAGCTGCTAGGACAAAAGCAAACTTTCTCATTTTACAGCTAAACAGTGCACTAAAATACGTTTCTAAAAAACATTTGAGGTGACAAATACGCAATGCACAGGGTTCCTACGCAAGTATGGAAAGTATGGAAAAGTATGGAAATAAATTTGATCAATTTCCAGGTATTAAAAAGTATGGAAAATGAAAAATAAAGTATGGAAAAATATTTATGTTTCCAGACTATTACCACTGTTCTAAAATACTGTTTTCTAAAATAGAAAATTAGGTATTTCCAAAAATAATTTAAACAATCCTGATCGTGTTTTATACCAGGCCAAGTACAGTTTGTGTGAGAGCAAACCTCTCAGAAAACATACCGCCCCTTTTACCTGATTGACAAGTGGTATGTCCAGTCCGCTGCCCCATGAATCTCTTCCAGCCCCCCAGGTATCAAGTTTCACTCCAACACTGCACCTTCGACAAGAAGACGAGTTTCACGTGGTTCACAATAGGTAGATGCAAGTTTTTGGATGGATGGCTTGACAATGCCGTATATAAATACTGGTTGGCCAAGGATTCCCAATTCACACACAGAGCTAGATGCAAGCTTTGTGTGAAATCGTTTGACATCGCCAACATGGGGGAGGAGGCGATTCTGAGCCACACGAAAGGAAAAATACAGACGTCTCGTTACTGCATCACTTGCACCCAGAGTCCCAACTTTTTTGCCTCAGCCCAGACATTGAACTTACCTGAGTTTTTATTTGCATGCCATTATGGTACTTGGCTACAATTGCCTATTAAGAATAATTAAATATGATGTGAAGTCTGGAAATTAGGGTATGGAAAAGTATGGAATTTTGAAATTCCAAATGTGTAGGAACCCTGAATGCAGTAAACGAATTTTGATTCATATTTGATCAGCATTACCTAGTTTGACTGTTGGACTGCAGTTAACAGAGACTGACACAATTGACCACTGCATTAGACACTCCTTGGCTCTGACTGGTTATTATTGTATTACACGCTACAAGGTAATAGAGTAGACAGAGGAGTATGATTTAATAACACAGATTATCGGTCTTATTTAGTACTATGTAAATATATGACAGAAGGTTATTTTGTATAAAAGTTATGACCTACAGCTTTTATGCAAAAATATATGATGTGTGGGTGTGCAGGCTTTGACAGAACTGTGCTGAATAATTAAAGTTAATGTAGAATATAATGCAACTGACTAGTTTTTGCTTTTGAGTAATTTGTAAAATAATTAATTTTAGTTTGATTTCTAATGAGTAATTTATCACATAGTTAACTACCTTGTCCAACACCTATTACTGCAGATTTTTGAGAAAGAAAGAGATCCACATTGTCAGGGCATATCCTGTACCCAAATAACAGCATCAGCTCATAAAACCACCCACACTCATTTTAGTTCTGGTCTAATAATTACACACAGCTTTTAAAAAAATTATAGAGGGACTTCATGTTTCCCATTGGAAAAGGAGCTGTGTTTTAATGATCCCACCCAGTCTGTTCTCCACTTCATTATCTCTGTTTCTAGCTAATGAGCCTCTTCAATAAATGCAACATCAATTGTCTTCCTTTTCATTGGGTTATGATAACTGTGTTTTATGTGGGAAACTTAATCATGTTGTTCATCATAATTAAATTCAAAAAAGTTTTACAAATCACCAAACACAGTATAACTGTTCCAGTCAACCACATTTGTCTCTATTTAGTAGAAAGGAATGACTGACTTTAAAATACACCCATGCTACATCGAAGAGGATGGATACAAAAGAAAAGATGAAAAGAGGGAAACAACTCAGTTTCTCTTGTTATAAATACCTTAATTTAAAAAACATTTTTAGCTTAATTATGAGACCAATATGAGTCAAAGATATTTCTCTGATCATTGTAGGTGAATTGCATCACAGCAGGACAATGCAGAAGGGACCCCATATCCATGACGTGCCGTTTCTCCGTGACTGCTGTGAACCATTGTCACCTCTCAGCAACTCCATTGATATGTCGAGAGAAAGACAGCTTACACCTCTGCCACTCTGCACTGTTCTTATCTCGATGACTTTATTATACAATATTCATTGTAGTTTTCTTGCTGTGGATGGCATCATCCTTGAGTATCTCTTTCAAGAAAAGTACCTTGCAACTTGTGTATGTTTCATATTGCGAGCCATCAGTGGTCTTCCGCTTAAAGAGAAACTGAACCCCAGAGTTTTGGCTCAAGTGCCTCTACACTGGAAATTAAAAAAATGTCTCTAGAATACTAAAAAACCAACAGCATGGGAGAGGGGCTTAGGGGTGTTTGGTAACAAGCTGCCACCATGCGTCACCTCCCACTGGATCAGCCAATAGAAAAATTCAATTGCAATAGCTGGGTTTCAACCAGTAGGGGGCACTATGCATGTCGTGAAACTTCAATTAGTAGCCTGGGCTATTATTTGCTAAAATCACTCAACAAGCTTATATTTGGGACAGACATTATAGGACACACAAAATACGATCAAATTGTTGATTTGAGCTAGGATGACTATTACTTATTTAAAAATTAGGCACATTAATTATGTATCCTTAATTAGATCTTGCTCTGACAGACAGGGCAGGGAGTGTTATGACACTCCATCTGCACTCGAGGATAACGGCACCTGACACAATACCACTTTATTCTGTTAAAACAATATTCATAACTTGGATTCATTTTAATGAAAAACTTTTGATTGTTGTGATCAGTGGACCCCTATGGACTAAAGGGAGATAAATAACTAACTGGGTAATTAAGAAATAGAAACACATTCTGACTTAATGAGAGCATTAGAGTTAGGGAGTCAACACTTTTTTTTTCTTCGTGCCTCTTGTTTACCATGCCTGTAAATCTGAATTAATTATTCTCTGGTGCTCAGTAAAGTGAACTGAATAACTGCATTGTGAAGAATCTAACCAGGCTAATGTGATGTAGCATATCTATACTGACAAACGTTTAAACATATGTATTTGTGTGATCTATACAGCTATCTTATGTTAGCTCAAGTGGACATAGCCACTTACCTGGTTTTATACATCCAGAGAACGTCTAAAAAAAATAAGCTGCTTGGCAACCAGACCAGGTGTCTAATTGAGACAGGCCTATATTTGTTAAAATGTGTTGCAACACCAGGCTAGTAAAAGGGACTGGGCGTTTATTGGGACTAGGTTTTTAATCTAAGTTTTTCGGTTTTTATAACACATAGAATTCAAATACTTGCACTAAAATGTCGAGATGGACCTGATTTAATCAACAACACTAATAAATACCTGTATACATTGGTTTTCAGCACTCTTAACAGGTTTCCATTTATCTCTGAATGCTTGAGTATGAATAAAGGGTATGTTGGGAAACTGCAGGAACATTCAACTTCTCTAATTTAAATGTCTTCAAGTGTTTACTGAATTACTGTACATTAGGAGCCACAGCTCTTACAAGGTCACTGACTATGTGTACTTATATTTATTCAGTGTCCCCATTTAATGCACACAAACAGATGGACGAACAGAATCTTTGATGGTTGAGTGTCTCAGATTCAGCTGGCGTTGCTCGACGCTCAGTACAGTGGGAGGCTTATTGATATTGCGTACTTTGAATACTGATTTTGTTCATCTAAAAAGGTCAGACACTCTTTAACCCAGTCACTCTCGTCCCTCTTCAATTCCACTACAGGCCTATCGGCTCTAATCAACAAGGTTTCTGTCCAAGAGCATCCTTGTGCTTATGTATGTGGCAGCATGTGTGTTAATTGCATTGTAGAGCTTACTTTGTAAATCAAGAGGTCTTAAGGTTATGTAAGGCAGAGACAAAAGGGTTGGTGGTGGATTGATGATATAGCAAAGTGAGGGGTGCCATAACTGGAAACAGCAGCTGAACACACCAAATAAAATAATCAATGTAAATGCTAAATCATGGCTTATTCTCTTATATCTGATACCCACTGACCTTGCAAATATACAATTATGGGGCTTGAAAGATTGGATTTTAATGTATTTTTCAAAACGGCACTGTAATGGAGCCTCTGTGGGCTCAAGGAGCTGTAACCTTGATTAAACTGAAAATGTGTACAGTAGGAGCAGTATACAATAAGTAAAGTTATTACTATGCTAATGAGGCATAAAATCAATACTGTGTCATTTGTACAAAATGAAATTGCTTGGGTGTTATTTGGCAATGTTCAAAAATCCCATTCCACAAATAGTCTTAACCTGCGTCTCAAAAACTGACTGTAGAAACTGCTTCACATTCTTAAACATTTTAGATTTATGGAAATCTAAATCCCTTGTTAAAACCCTCATCAACCTTGATCATTGCCACTTTTATTATGAAACCCTTAAATTCCGGCTAATCTGTTAAAACAAAACAAATGAGTGCTGTATGATTATTTTAATGTTTTATTTATATTGGTGCTATTTGCTTAAAGCTGGGATAGGCAGCTTTGTTTTGGCACCATTGGGCAAAAATCCCCCAATAACCTTTCAGCATATTCAAGCAGTCTCAGAGCAACACCAGACTTCTGCACCTCCTCTTGGCTCTGTTTCCAGGCTATAGAAAAACTAGACTGTGACAGAATGCTTTGGCAAATCACAAGCCATGTCAGGGCGAGGGTGTTCCTACTGGCTGTGCAGCAATTGCAGATGCGTGTGCACGTCCCTTCAGTGTAAGCCTGATTCAACGGCAAAGAATCCTGCAGAGAAAGCTAATGTTCCAGCATTGGCAACAACCGTCTACACTGCAAAGCAACCCAAAAAGGAATTATCAAGAAGAGAGTCTAAAATAGACAATAAACAAAGTAAAACACATGTCAGTATTAGCAAAGCATTTCAGAGATGGAGAGAAAATGTTAATAGTTAAGCCTCCTGCTAACAGGAAGCAAGAGCTAAAGGATTTGCATTGGTTTCTATAGCCATTGATTTAAGGTCTGAAGTAGTCTATAGCGGCGGGGCGTGAGGTGGAGGGACCGTGAGCTGTACTAGCTAGCTAATACTTGCCTTATTTATGGTCTGATAAACAAAGACAAACCTCTACAATAAAATCAGATTAGATAAATCAATGTATGGGATAACACTGGGTTAATGTATGAAGCATGTGCATATGCAAGAGGGGAGTGTGTATTTTAAAATTCTACTGAAAACTGCCTACCCCAGCTTTAACAACCACACATCCTGGGTTTTTTCCTCAGGGGTTAATAACTTAGAATATGTGGGAGGTTGAATTGAAAAAATAATGAGTGAACAGCGCAGTGAGATTTCTGTATAAAAAGACGGGTATATGTTTCTGAATGTCATTGACTTGCATGATTCACCTCATGTCAGGCCAATTAAAATGAAAAGACGAAGGGAGACCTTCAGCCTGAAACAGCCCGCAGGTAAAATCAATCAAAATATAAGCAACAGACAGTTTTGGCTGGATTATCTATTTATGGTGCCAGTTAATATATTGTAGCTTTTGGGGCATTCTTTTTCCTGGACTTTATGATAGCTGAGTCTGGTTGTGCAGGGCTTAGTTGCACTTGAATACACCCTAAAGACTTTAGAAGAGTGCAAATACTCACTTAAATGTACAAATGTGAGGCAGCTCTGATACAGTCTTCTGGTGCTGGTGCTGATGTAGAAAACAACAATGATTGTGCAAGGCTCTCGATCAAATATCTTAACGCCAAGGTATTAAAGGACTAGGCATTAGGAGATTTGAATGGATGGACAGGTCAAATGTCATAGTTAAGGCCACAGTGAACGTGTTCATCATATTCAGTGATTCCATTAAGCGTATTACACAGTGTGCAGAAAACATTTGTCAGCTGGATCTACAGTACCAGCTAGTGATCCAGCCGGTGGCCAGTGTAATGGTTTCAACCATTTACAAATTGATTATACTGATTTTTGAGGGGAAATGAGAGGGTATTTATCCGCGGATCAATGGAGGCCATTGTTATGATTGAGTAGGCCAGTAAACTCCTTTGTCTAAATTGCTAAAACAGTATATGTGTAGGGTGGCTCAATCAATTGACGTGTGGGGTATGTTCACTTTATCAGTTGCAGTCCTAAAAGCGGTGAAGGAGTTCTGTGGCTATTTGTTGAAGGTGTAGTGGCAACCTGACAACAAAGAGTCAAAGTTGACCATCAGAGTTTCTAAGAGCAAAACAAACAGATCTTGGACCGAAGAAGAAGTGCGTTAAAATTACATAGTACATTAAATATTGTAACACATTGGGGGGTTTTTTCTTCCAGAATGTACCTAACTTGCTTAAAGCTCTAGTGTGTAGGATTTTGCAGTAAGGGTTGCAAATTGTAACCAACTGAAACCATGGGAGAACTATGGTGGCCGATGCAAAGAATACAAAAACATAGATAGCCCTATCTAGAACCAATGTCCTGGTGTGTCCAATCTCGGCTACTCTAGAAACAACATGGACAACAGACTCAGTGTAAGAGGACCTGCTCCATATGTAGATATAGACCAAATCACTGTGATGTTGCGACAATGACGGGTTGACAATGGGCAGTTGATTTCAAACATGGAGATATGTGAAATTTATTTATGTTGTCATTTTCAGCCGTAACGTTAACATTTAAAGATATGTATTCAAACATGTTGGTCTGACCTGTCTGATGTTTCAACAAATCAATCATCATTTATTTGTTAAGTGAAGTTTACAAGTTACAACTCCAGTGAAATGTGATCCTTTCAGCCCCTTTACCTTGTGCACTGTAATGTTTCCATAATTTAGTTCCATGATTTCTGGTTGTGGAATGCTTAAACTGTCCACACAACATAACCCAGACAAAATGGCCGCATGGTCGTTCCCCCAGACACATGCAGTGTGCTCTGCAGCTGCCTCTAAAGGCATATAGCAGTGATCCACAGCAGGAACAGGACAGCATCTCACATTCCCACCAAGACAGCAGTACTTATTCACTGTAAAGCACATACGTCCTCTCCTTCAGAGTCCTCTGCCCTGTCAGATCTACATACTGTATGGAGTCACCTTGTTGAATGTCGTAAAGTTTTGGTGAATGAAAGGATGTTGCAGTTCCTGTTATCCTGTTGGAAAGTGATGCAGCACAGATGTCATCCGGTTTACATAACAACACCTGTACAATGGCTAGCACGATGCTAGTTCAGCTGGTGTCTATCTTCTCCACCTTTTCGTTGATGTTCACTGATGTTTATGTTTGAAAACCTTGACCTGGCAAGTCAGCAGTTCAATCAGGAGAGTTATTTTAGACTGAACAATAATTTATTACAAAATGCACAATATAATGAATGGTGAAAAGTTCTTTGGTGATTAGACCCCATCGTGATGTGTATGGGATGAGGAGCAGTACTAGGCAGTGGATGAGCTGAAGACTGGAGGTGAATAGGCTGGAGGAGGGTCACATCTGTTCATCCTACAAAGACAACTGACAGCAGCAGAGAGGAGAACAGTTTTAAAACGACAGCAGCGATATGATTGGCTTAGGGAGATAGTGGTAAAATGAGGTTGGATTAATTTAGGGGGACGCCCGTAGTCAGCTGACAGAGTCGAAGCTGGAGTGGAGCAGAGAGAATTGTGAATGAAATGCGAGCGTGAAGAGAGTCTTCCTGATTTAATTTTCGCCAGCTTCATGAGTCAGCAGAACGAGAATTTACAGACTGGTGACTTGATTTCCTCTTCACGATGAGTGACTTGCAGCTACACGCCACCACCACCTGAAGCCACAACAAACATGTGCAAAACAGGCATAACAGCATGTAGTGCTGTGAAACTGGGCCGCAGCAAAATGTATTTCTGCCACCAAAAAACAAAAAGATCAATAATAAATACCAGTTAAGTGTATACTATATTTAAAATGTTCACCACTTAACCTTACACACGAACTGCTGATTGATGCAGTGGTAGACCAACACCTCCAGTACTCTGGGAATTAAAATGACTGTTTCTGTCAATGAAGTCGGCTTCAGTTTCTTGTCAGAATGGGCTATCTGATGGCAAGGTAAAGTGGTGACAATATTTCACATGTAGAATTCATTCAAATTGATTGTTTGTTTAATGGCAAAAAATGGAACTAATCAAGGCAGTGTTTGCTCAGTGCTGTTACATTTTATACATGGCGCAGGTTTTTTTTTTTTACCTGGAAGATTTTGTAAACAAACAGTGATTCTTTCTATAAACATTCATTCTAAGGTAACAAAAACATGATTCTTATTTTCAGGTCATTATATGCTAATGAAAATACTACATTCTATGTTTGCCGATGTATTCCCCTCAATCCTACACACAGGACTTTTGCTTCACTAATACGAAAAACCGATTACTTCTCACCTTTGATTATGGTTGTTGTGTATGTGATGGTAGCAGTGGTG